CCTCAGCTCCCCACTCTTCACTGAGGTGACTTCTTGGAGACCGGAGAAAAATAGGAGCTTGGTTTCCCTCCGCACGTGTATGAGAACCTGTGGAATGAGCCCAGGGTGGGGAGCTCAGAGCTCATGAACTTAAATGCTTCCTCTACTATTGATTTTCTTGGTGGCCATGAGTAAATCCATTAAAATGTCTGTGCATTGGTCTCATACGTAAATCAAAATGCCAAGGTTTCTCTACCACCTAGTGATGCTGTGAATTCTGAATATTTGATTCCTCCTTTGTAGAAAGAGTTTTGACAGGAACACATAGCAACAGCTTTTCACATAAAAACTGAAGTTAAAATTACCATCTGGCTCTCCTGAGAAGGCAGTACAGCCACACACAACATGGAAAGATCCCCAGTCTTTACCTCTCCTGGGAAACTGAGACTCAGCAAGCTCTGGGGTTTCTGCAGGGGACGAGAAGATCCAGGAGCTTGGCCTAGGTAGTTGTTGGCCGTGCTTTTTGTTTCTGTTTTTGGTGTCAGCGTGCAGTATGTACTGACAGTTGATTTGGGGATTTGAACAGGTGTAGATCAGAGACTTGCAAAATTTGCTTTGCAGGGGGGTGGTGATGGTAACTGCTTAATGTCCTAGCTGTGCCTGTTAGTCATTAGTCAGAAAAGGATAACCTTTTCCCACTTCTTAAGTAATGGGTGACACCATTCATTCCAGGAAAAGGTCTGTGGTGATCAATTTGAGGATCCTGAGGTTTGCTTCTACTCATTATTTCTGTGAGGCTTTGAATATGTCAAGGGTTTAAGTCTGAATGGGGAGTTTTGTACAGGTCTTGGATCTCTGTGAATCACAGCTGTTGCAGAGAATTTAGTTATGTGAATGCGTTAGAAAATAAATAATGCATTTAGATTACTATTAATGAGTGAAATAGAAGATTTAATTGCTTATATGTGCTAACCTGCTTTCAGATTCTGATTTTTGTAAATCTGTCTAGTATTAAATGCGTTAAAAATTAAGTCTTGTAAATCATGTATAAATCAAGAGTTTGCAAACATCTTCTACATGCTGTTTTAAGTAACTGTTATTTTATGCAGTTGCATTTTCACACTTGAACAGCTAGATCATCAATTCAAGTTAATATCACTTACTATATACAGGGTTTCACATCCCCCTAAACCAAGGGTTTGATCTGTTCCTCCATCTAACATAAACCACGTATTCCTGTTGACTTGGAGTTGGGGCTTAAGTTTAGCTGTTCGAGGTTAGCTATGTTGTGACACAGAGGCTCCTTGGTACACTGCCACTGTTTAGAGAATGTGGAAATATATATCACAGTGCAATTTGTGGAGCCTTCAGAAATGTACAGCATGAGGGTCATGAGCTAAGATATAACAAGCGCTTCACTGCTATCTGGTCTTCCAGATGTCACCAGACTGTGCCTGAAAGCATAAGGGAATATGGTGAGACCTGCAGCCTACTCAGGTTTTTTCTTTTCATACATTCTGGAAAAAATCTGTATCCCTTTTCCCTCTCCATGCTTTTTGGTAATTCTCATGTGTTTTGTGGTCATATCCATCAATTATGTCAGAATGTCCTAGCAGGCAGAACAGGAAAGGCTGTGCTTGGTAAAAAGCCTTTCATGCGTCCTGACACAGGCTACTGTGTTGTAGCTCGGGTGAATTCACAGTCAAGCTTTTCGGTAATTGGAACCTAATTTGTGCACTAAAGCCTTTGATGAGACTGGTAAACCAGTCACCCACGTGGCCACTGGTAAACTGGTTAGGAATTAGTGGTTTTAGAGACTACAGTTCTAGAGAGTATGTTGACCTTGGGAGTTATGCTTATCAGATATAGAGTGGGCAGACATGAATTTGGATGGGCCAGTGAACCCCGGAGACATTTTAGTGTGTGGTGCTTTGCAAGTTGAATGTCTGTCCAGCGCAGCCACAGCAGGAATTAAAAATTAAATCACCCTAAGGACACATGAAACAGAGATAGGTAGCAGTCTCCCAAGAACGGTACAAAGATGGATCAGAATCCCATCGGTGAGCAGGGTCAGCAGCAGATGACTGGAAGAAACAGGCAGATGACGTAGTTGCAGGCGGGGGTGGGTTGATAGCACCTTATATTACAACCAGTGGTACAAGTAAGAGTAATATCTCTCTGAATTTTCTCTGCTCCATTTTGACGAGTCTGCAGTGGTTGCCTTAAATTACCATTTAGATTTCTAATCTACTCTTTGCCTTCTCCTTGGCACTGAGTAGACCAGTGAGATTTCATCTAAGTGGCTGAGAAAGTGTAAATGAGCCCTATTAATATGTCTTGTACTGAGTGAAAAATCAACCCCCCGCGCCCCCCTTCCCGAAGACGTGGAATGTGTATTCAGTGCTTCACACACCTACGGCTGGGGGAAAAAGGCTCAGTCATAATGATCCTGTTTGACTCCTGCCCTCGGACACCGGCTATTTGATGGGAATTACCTGCAGGTACATAGAGCATGTGTCCCACTTGATTGTAACATGTTGCCTTCTGATGGATCAGGAGTGACTAGGCAGGGGAATTATCATCGTGGAGAGGGCTGTTAAGCGCTCAGCTCTGACTTCCAGAACCGCAATCAATATCAGCTCTCTGTGCTCAGGCTGGTTGAGCACTGACACAAGCATATGCACTCCTTGGTGGTAGTTAAACGTATTCAGAATAGAATCACAGAACCAAGTAATTTGGAAGGGACCTCCAGAGGCTGGGTAGTCCAACCACTAGCTCAGAGCAGGTCCACTTAGAGCAGGCAGCTCAGGACTGTGCACAATAAAGTGTTTAGTATTTCAAAGGACAGAGATTTCACAGTCTCTCTGGGCCCTTCCTAGTGTTTGATCATCCTCAAGATGAAACTTTTTTTTTTTTTTATAGAATGAGAATTTCTTGTATTCCAGCTGTGTCTGTTGCCTATCATCCTTCTTCTGCAGACCTCTGAGAAGAATTTTGCCCCCTGTTCTCTGTGCTCTCCCATTAAGTCATTGTAGAGAGCAGCAAGATTTCCCTTGATGCAGAACAAGCCCAGCTCTCTCAGGCTCTCCATACATATCACCTATTCCAGCACCTTCAGTGTTGTGGTAGCTCTCTGATGGACTCACCTCAGTGTGTTGAAGCCATTATTACACAGGGGAGCTCAACGCTGGACAAGGGTGCTCCTGATGCGATCTCACCAAGTGTCCATCAGGGGAAGAATTGCTTTCCTCAGCCTGCTGGCTGCACTTCTGCTAATACAGCCCAGGATGTGGCTGGCCTTTGCTGAAAGGGCTGGCACGGCTGACTTGTGCTCAGCTTGTCTGCTAGGACCCTCAGGTCTTCTTCTGTAAAGCTGCTTTGAGCCAGTTGGCTCAATTTGTCTTATTGTTCACTCGCAGGGGTATATAGACACATGGTTCACATACAGAAGTACAAACACACATTACTGCTGCTTTCAAAGTCCCCAGATTTTTTTTTAATGAGTTCATTCTGTGATGCCTTCAATGAAGACTGCAAAATTCTCTGCTTAAAGCGGAGCTATCACTTGAGGATGATATATGTTCATGTTGCAACACTGTCCTGTTTTGTCACCACTATTTCATGATGTGAGGGCATAGATTTTACCACGTAGTTATTTTTCAAGAACAGTTATGACAACAAGTATTTTCCTCTCAGTTTTATACTAATAAATTCTGGCTAATCTGTATTAGGATTACTAAATGAATTAGGATTACTAAATGAAGCAGAAAAATGCCATTAAGGTCAATGGCAATAGCACCAGCACTTGTCTTATGCAGCAGATAGTAAGCGGTGATAGTTTGACTGCTTGTACCATCTAGTTATTCATGCTCAGACTCGCTTTCACAGCTGGGATTCAGAAAGGTGCTGCAATACGGAGTGGGGGGATCTGTATAGACTCCATTGTACCTACCATTTTCCCCTAGACGGCACCAGTAGGAACAGGCTACAGAGAGCCCTTCTGCTAGCTTTACCATTGCTGTCTTGTATTTCTTCTGCTGGGCAAAATGGGGGTACCCAGCTGGCTCGAGTCACGTGGGAGCAATTGGGCAGCAGAGCTGGCTCTGAGTGACTGTGCAAGCCCAGGTACTGGGAAGCAAACTTCCAGCTCACGGAAAAGATTTTTCTGGTATTCAGATGCTGCCTCCAGCTGCTGTGAAATTAGTTCAGAGGTTTTTCTTACTGTACCTAAGAGATTTTTTTTTTCTTAATGAGGAAATACTTCATATTATGTGCTGTGAATAGTTACCCCCATGCTATTTTTTTTGCTGTATGTAAAAGATGCTTATCTAGTACAGATTTTCTGGATAAATTGATCAAAAAGGTTACGTTCTGAGACATGTTCACCAGCAACATCATTATTTATGGCTCTAGACAAAATGTTTTATGTGGACTTCCCTCATGCTCTTACAGAAGAAAACCACAGGATACTTCACGTGGCTCTCTTGTCTGCTTGGTCTCTCGTTCAGTTGAAAGAAAGAGGCAGCTCTGTCAGGATTATATTCTGATGCCTTAGATTGCCTGGCAGATGGGTTGAGATAAACTCAGATGACGTTAGCAATGAAGCTAAATACTAATCTTTGGGAAATGTTGGTTTATTTTGGAACAATGCGTATATGATGGTCACATTGTGAACAGTAGCGTTTCCTAACATTATCCACAAAGTATGTGAAGTGTCTCATAGCAGTGTCTTTAAATGTACCTTTTCTAGACTCCACTGCATACTTTTGAACGGTCCCTATGGTGACAGTGCTGCAGTGAAACTGAAAACACAGCGCTGAAATTCTTCGGTACCGAGGACCCTGTCGTTAATTCTCTTGAGGGCTATATCTCAAGAGGAGGTGTGCAGCCATTAGCACGCCACGATATGGAGTTGTACAGGGCATTAACGGTGCTGTGGGATTGCTTAGACATTTCATGACAGCTGTAAATCTCTTCTTGGCCGCCTGCTGAATAGTTCTTTTGTTTCCCTTTTCTTCCAGCGCGAGATGAGAACATGGCCACTTTCCGTGGTTCCGAATACCTTTGCTATGACCTGTCGCAAAACCCCATCCAGAGCAGCAGCGATGAGATCACTCTCTCCTTCAAGACATGGCAACGCAACGGGCTCATTCTGCACACCGGCAAGTCGGCGGATTACGTCAACCTGGCCCTGAAAGACGGTGCGGTCTCACTGGTCATTAACCTGGGGTCTGGGGCCTTCGAGGCCATTGTGGAGCCAGTCAATGGCAAGTTCAATGACAACGCGTGGCACGACGTTAAGGTGACACGCAACCTGCGGCAGGTAATGGTGAAGGGGAGAAAATGCTGGGGAAAATTTTGTTCTGTTTTATTGGGAGCAGCAGATGGGAGAGAGTCATGGAGAAATGGGGATGCTCAGTGGAATCGCTAGAGTTTCTCCACCTTTTCTGGATCTTGGTATCTAAAGGACAGTGAAAAAACATTAGTTGATGGGAATTTATCCCTGTTGCGGTATCTTCATTTCCACTTTATTAATTTTCTGGTTTTTCCAGTTTGATTTAATAATAAAAACTTGTGACATAGCTTTACTTTCATCTCCCTCTTCCTTTTCTCTTTTTCTGTTCTCCCTTTTTTATTTTATTATTTCCTTAATTATGATTCAATCTTATCAGTAATATTCTTGTTGCATTTAATTACTGTGGGAACAGAGCCTTTTTCCAACAGCCAATGCTCTACACCTCTCTCCTTTTTCTTTCAGTTTTGTTAATTGGTTTAACCATTGCCATGATGTCGTAATTCTAATTCTAAAAGTCTTTTGTTTTTCCTTTCCTTTTTCTTTTCTTTTGTGTGTGCATGAGTGTGCAGGTGTGCAGGCTGGTGGGTACATGTGTAATTATTTTAACTTTATAGCTTGGGAATTAATTGGCTGGAATCTTTCTGAGTCTTCTTGAATCTCTGTTCTTCTTTTCTTCTTTTTGATTTTTTTCCCGTTTCTTTCTATAATGAGATTCTACTTTATTTCTTGTGTCTCTGTCTATGAGACTCTTCTGTTGGCTGTGAGGACTGGAAAAGTGGAAGGATCAAAAAAGACAAGCAAACCCAGATCAATGCAGCATCCCACAGTTCCACTTTGGAAAAGTTTTTCTGTTTTTACCACTGTAACTTTGCACATCTGCATGCTGCTTTTCTAAGCAGACAACTTTATCAGGTGACGTATTTGGTAGTAGCTAGTCTTAAAATCCTGAAGTCTTCCTCATGAAACATAATTTCAGACATAAATAGATAAGATAAAATTAAATAACCTTGCTCTGAAAGCTGGTGAATATATCAAGTCACTAAGGCCCATCCACTGCATGATAAATGAGGTTTACACTGTGAATAGGAGCTTTTTTGTATCTTGCTGATTAGTAGAGGCAGCAGAAATACAATCTAAACTAAGATTTTAAAATCAATTTGTGAAAACAATATGATTTGTTTATTTTCTCATTAATGTGAATATTAATACAACTCTTAGTAGTTTTATTTAGGTTTTGCTGAGAAAACACCTTTTGTGGTAACATTTTACAGTAGCTAAGATTAAATGTGTCTGTGATTATAGAATAATCAGTGCCAGCACCTCAGAAACAGTCTCTGCTAGTAGATGTCAGTAGATAATGTAGTTGTGGGGTTTTCACATCTTTCTTTTAAACATTTAGGTTTGGAGCTGAAGATACACCTTATGTGTTCTGGTTTTCTAACTGTAAAATACCCATTTTTCAGAGAGGCTATGAACCTGAGAAGTCCTTTGGTATCTTCATATGGAAGATATAATAAAGGACAAAGATTATTTATCACTTATAAAATTATACTTTTTTTCCTTGGTATATACTAAATAATTTTGTATTGGATCTTTCCTGACATAAATTCACCTGTAAAGTTGCAGCATAATATTGGTCACTTAGAAGGGTTGTTTCCAGCTCTGCTCATGTTTCTGCAAAAAAACCCACCCCCAAACCTAATAAAACCCCAAAACCCAAACCCCATTGCCCTTGAATATTGAAGCTTAATAAGGAAATCAGGAGCCTCCTTGTAACTGATTGAAAACATTTCACTGAAGATAAATATATTTCTCTTTAAAATGACCAAAAAAAAAAATTTTCAGAAATTCCAATAACATGATCCAAAGCTAAAACAATTTCAGGTAAATTGGCTACCAGCAGCTCCAGGATGCCATCTAGTCTTTTCCTCTGCTCTTATTGGGGTTGGGAGAAGGGAAAGGAGGATTTGCATAATTTTTTGGTTGTTCCTAGAATTGGAGCAGAACTTAAAATAGCTGGACTTTTGCCCAGTGCTTTTTGGAATTGTTAAATATTTTATAGCTAAGCTAGAAAAGTACTAAGTGCTGCTTTTTGTTTTTTTTAGATCAAATGACTATCACAGCAGTTAATCTCCTTAGAGACAAACCAAGTGAACCACAGATTCCCTTGAGTGGTGATTGTTAATGTCAAAGCAAATCTCCTTGTTTGTTTATCTTATTATTTCAGTTAAAACTAAGCCCCTTGTGAGAAACCTTTACTAGAAATAGGATCATGGCTGTATTTTACCACGGCTTTCAGAGCATGTTTGGGGCAGTGTGGTATGGTGGGTGGAGGAGCAGAGGAGACTGAAGGTCAAACTTCCTGTGTCTGTCTTCAGGTCTGCTGCAGACACTCTGTCTCGTTTTTAGCATTTTTAGCTTTTCCCCCCTGTCCTATGCTCCAACTCCCTTGTTTGTATGGATTTACTAACAGAACATATCACTGATGCTGAAACTTCCATGATGAAGAATTCAGGACTTTGCGCTCGTTATACCCAAGTACAGAATATTATTATTTCGTTCCCATAGACAAATAAAATGTACTTGGGACATTATGTTCAAGGCCATAAAGTTTTTACAAATTTATTTCCTTAGTCAATACCCAACTCTGAAATTTGCAAGCAGATAGTTTTCACATGAGGCAGCATAGATCTTGCCTTTGTAATTTAGGATAGTTCTTGCCAACTTCAGTCGTGCTGGAACAAGGATGTGGAGTCTCCACAGGCTGCACTTCCCTATTAACACTGAAGCTAGTCACCATGCAAAAGCTGGGATAAAGATCGTGAGTTCCCCAGCTGCTAAAAATAAAACACGAAACAAAGTGTAGGTTCGAACAGTTGGCATCTGTGTGGCTTGGCAGGGATTAACATCTTCAAAATTCTGCTAAACCCAACTGAGTGAACTGACTGGTGAGTTTAGATCTTCCATAGTACAGATGCAGTATAACGGGAGAAATACTAAATCTTGTCAGTCTTACGTCTTCAACCTTGACACAAGCAACACAATTCTTCCTACACAATTCCTCAACACATTTCTTCCCACAGTAGTAGAGGTTCAGCTCCTGTACTTTGGGATGACAGAAGTGAGCTACAGGCAAACAGCCAAGCACAGGCTTTTTTGTGTGCTTCTCCTGAAATCACAAACTCACCTGCTGTAAAGAAACCTGCAGATTGGGAAGCTTGGAAGGAAGACTCAGAGTCTTGGACTCATCTTCATCTATATCCTCCAGCCAACGGAGATACTGGCCTTCTTGTGATACTCTGCAACACTTGAGGGTAGTGAGGTTTGGAAGAGGAGCAGGAATGTAGGTGGGTGGTGGTGGGCAGAAGGAGGGAGTCGTGGCTGTGTTTGTGCTGAAGGGGCGAACTGTGTGCTGTGCGTGTACATCTCTGAGGGTAAGGTTCTTGTTTGAGGGAAGCACCTTGATGGGCATCTGAAGAGTAAGTATTGCACTGTTTTAACTTTGCTTCGGTCCTGGAGAATGTATATGAGGGTTGAAGTTAATGACTAATACCAGGGTGGGAAGACTAGGCAGCACCCTTCTTCTTTACAGTCTAGATGGCATGGTTCCCCATAGAGTCCTGGTCATATTGTCCTCTTTCACTTTGTGTGTCTCAGGTGCCCCACACCTTTTTTTGAAAGACTAACACTAGACCATTCATGCAATGTGTCATTTTTACTAACCAACTAATGTACTAACACCCTAACGACTCATCTTTGCTTTTAGTTATTTTAATTAACAATCGTTCTGTTCACGATTTTTTAATTTCCTTTCTTCCCCCTTTTCCGCAAAGCACTCAGGCATTGGACACGCTATGGTAAACAAACTACATTGTCTGGTAGATATCATTCTTATTGTCTCTTTTTTTGGGTTTGCCGTGTGTTACCTGCCTTTTCCTCCCCCTACCCCCTCTTTTTCCCCCCTCCTTTATACTTCTTCCTTTAATTTTATTTTATTTTCATTGAAAACACTTTTTTTTTTCTTTATTTTTTTTTTCCCCGCTTCTTTTCTTCTTTTTTAATGGAAAAATGAGCAACAAAAGCAACTAACACAACTCTTCTGGAAATGGGGTTTGGACATTTCTTTCATTGGTTTCTTCACCTCTCATTTTTAGTTCTTCTTTTTCATTCCAATGATAAATTGTTGGGTTTTTTGTCCCTTGCTTTTGAGTTTAGCTTTCTCTCTTTTCTTTAGTTTTCTTTATTTTTTTTTTCCCCTTTTGGTTTTTGTTTTTTACTCTGAAGGTTTCTAGATCAGAACCATTGCAGGGCCTCTAGTCCGTGGTGGTGAAGGCTCTCTTTTTCTCTCATCCTTTTGTTGTGGCAACGGCTATTTCAGGCAAACTGGCCGGAGTTGTCCTCTTTCTCCTGATTTTCCCCTACTTCCCTCCCTCCTCTTTCTCTCCTCCTCCTCCTCCCTTTTGCTCTCTCTCTCTCTCACTTTCTCTCTCTCTCTGACCTCTACCTGCCGTGGCCGACAGGAGCTCAGCCGGTTGTTTGTTTCAGTACACACTCTGCATGGCATGTCCACGTCTGGTGACTCGCCCGTCTCCTCCTGGCCTCGATCTATTCTCCTCCATCTTCCCTTTAAGCCACTAACAACATCTAAGCAAAACACATCAAATTCACTTGCTCCTCTCCCTCCCTCTCCTTCTGTCCCCCTTCACCCTCCATGTGTTTGGGGTTAGAGGTTTTGGGGACATTTCTGTTTGGTTTTCAGTTTTCTGATTATTATGGGGTTTGTTTGGTATTTTTATTTTTGATTGCATGAAAGTGTGAAACAATTCTTTCTCTCCTTCTCCTTTTCCTTTTTTATCTTTTTTTTTTTTTTTTTTTCCTGTCATCTTTCTGGGCTCTAGATATATTGGCATGACATGTCAAAGTGTAGCGTGTGCATGCTTTGTGTTTTCTTTCTTTCTCATCTCTGCTTCTGTCACACTTGTTGGTGTGTGGTTGATTTATTTTGATTTATTTGATTTTTGATTTATTTTCTGTTTATATTTTGGTTACAAGTTAGTTTATAGTATATAATTTATTTTTTTTACTTTTTTTTTTGTGGTGGGTGGTGGGTGTGTGTCCCTCTAGGTACATGGCATGCACATCCATAACGTATTGAAAGTGAGATCCCTCTCCTCCCTCCCCGAATGCATGATCGTCAGTGTGCTGTGAGCAAAAGAAACATAAAAAATAAAAAATACCAACCTCGTCTTCATTAGTGTTTTTTTTTTTTTACTAACAACCATAACTAACTGTAATCATTAAAATAAATACTAATTAATCATAAAATCAGCTAATATGAGAAATATCTTTCAAGGACAGTTCCATTTTCTGGCCTGAATAGATGGAAAGCATCTCGATGGGCAGGTTTGCTGGGTCAGCCTGACAGTGCTGATACACCAGAAAGGGGAGAAAGAGATGTTGGAGCATTTCCATTGTGGGTGAAGCAGACCAGAAAATGGAGCTTGGTTGAACTAAAAAAAATACATACCAAATCTCAACAAAATCCTTAATAAAGCTGACATAAAAATATAGGGGAGGTAACTTGTTCTGTTCAGGCTTGTAAGGTCATTGCTGGGATTTTCTTTGTCCGTTGTGTCCTTTGAACAGGTGACAATCTCTGTGGATGGCATCCTTACCACCACGGGCTACACACAAGAGGACTACACCATGCTGGGCTCGGATGACTTCTTTTACGTGGGAGGGAGCCCCAGTACTGCTGATTTACCTGGCTCTCCAGTAAGCAACAACTTCATGGGCTGCCTCAAAGAGGTAACTATTTCAAACTAATTCTTGTTTCTGTGCTTTTGGTATCTCGAATTCATTGCTCTTTCCTGCCTTTCATTACACACTCAATGTCTTTTCCTGATGCTGAGTTTTACGCTGATTCTGCAACAGCTCTGTAAGGACAAACTTGTCATTCAGCTGGGCAGAAGGCATCAACCTCAAAACTCATGAGCTTATGGTCAGAATCAGACTTCTAGTGCTTGCATTACGGAAAAAATACCCATGACAGTGGGAGACGTGTCTTCCATAGGCTGTTAACCATTTAGATGGAAGCATTACAATCTTCTAGGCACTGAAGCAATAGCCATTAAAAAGAATATAACTAGCTTTTGATTACTAAACAGCATTTTGGATGAAAAAATCATAATCAGAAGCATATTTAGGATTCATTTTTAAAGTCATGGATTCCACCTGGGAATATAGTTAATTATCAATTTTCCAGGAAGATAGAGAGGTAGTATAAACTGGAGAAATAAAAGTTGAAGGTAGCATAAAATATATGTATAAATTAGGTGAAGAGAATGCAGCATGAGGGTGTACTGGAGATGTGGCAATAATGTGGACTGCGGACTTGAAGTGTACTGTGTTGGTGAGGCCCTGCAGCAGAGCTGCTGCATTGGTCAGGAATAGCTTAGCTGGCTTCCAAACCCGTGTTGTCTCACACTGCCTGGCTGCCCTTGTCATGTCATTAATCTACAGTTTTGAGAGAATCCACACACGGGTAGTAGAGATCAGACTGCCTGGCTAACAGCAGGAACCAGAGTAATGTTCCTTTGGAACAAAACTAATCACCAAAAAAAAAATGTTGAAGCCTCAGCCCAAATCTGGATCTTGGTGTAGTTGTTGTTAGGGTGTTATGGCCTGCAGCCAGCTCTTGTCATCTTTCCTATCTCTTCTAATAGAATTTGTGATGATTACTGTGATTAATGGTGATCTAGATATTGACACCCCCAAAATGTGCTGTAGAAAGCTTACCAAAAAACAAGCTTAAGTTTTCTGTCAGTCAGCTTTCTAACTAGCCTGGAATAAGAGTTTCTTGCAAGAGTTTTCTCTCTCGTGTTGTGACCCTGTACTAGTACTGATTTTCACAGGGTGTGGCTGGGTGGGTCTAATTTTATTTGCAGCTCCGAGGGTTGTCATAATGTCCTCTTTGTGTGAACTTTTAATGTCAGAGCTGAATTTTCATACAGGAGTCATGGAAACAGTGATGCTGAGCTAGATGTTGCTCTGTGGCTGTGACTGCCTGTCAAGTTACCATCCTACTGATGCTCGACTCGTGGTGTCAGGGGTTACATGTTACGTGCCAGTCCTTTGATGTGAGCAATGGCTGTCAGAGGCTGGAGCTGCTCTCCTGCCTGACCTCTGGATTAGTTAAGGGGGCTCACATATGCTTGAAAAGAGCATGTGAACATCTTACATAGGAAATGAAACTGCCCTGCTGAATACAAACTGTCATACAGGGATCAAATCCTTCTGTTTTCATCTATAGAGCCTTGGACCTGGTTTTCGTAGGCACTGAGCATCCCAGTTTGATTGAAATCGAGAGCAGATACAGCTTCTTAGTGTCTCTTTAAATCAGGATCTTAATTTTATTTATGGATGCTATGAACATAACACTTAGCAGAGGCCATTTTTATGTGTGCTTTAAGTCAAGCCAATGGAGCAGAGAAAGCAGTGACAAGAAAATCTTCAGCAGCTTTATTATTTATATAATCATTTGTATTCTATTAGCTTGCACAATGTGCTAAGAGCTGCTTACATAGCCAACCCAGGCTGATAATGCTCTGCGAGAAGAAAAACTCAAGCAACCACTTAAGAATGAGAAGAAGGGGAAGAAAACAGATAATCATAATGTGCTTTGTAATCTTCACTCGACTAGGCAGTGACAGGAGATGTGTATGAGCAGCTGTCTTGACTTAAAGACAGGCTGGTGCTGGCTGAGTTTAAGCTATAGTCTGCTTAATAGCAACCTGCTCTTCTTAGTGGTCCAGTAATGCTGAGGGAAAATGTGCCCAACATATACCTTGCCTGGCATCTGAGGATGAATCCAGTATACACGATTCGCTAAACGTAAGTGTGGTGCAGGTTTGTCAGGGGAGGCAGCTGGAAAATGGGATGAATGGAGAAATGTAATATTTCAGAAGGGAAGCCATGTTATTAATTAGCACTTTGCCTGTCCATTCTCTCATTCCTCCAGACCCATTAGGACACAGGATGAGTTATGCAGGTATCACTAGGATGTGTAAGGAAGCTGAAGAACATCCTGCCAAGCCCTGTACTGGTCTCTTGAAAGTGTTAAAGCGGAATGGTCTATTTCTACTCCTCTGCATTCATTGAAGACTTCCCAGTAGGGATGTCTCAATTTCCTAGGGAAGGAAAGGGATTAACGCAGGCTTTGGGGTGAAACCTTCAGCCTTTTCCCTGTAATCTCTCTCATTTCATCTGGACTGCACCAGCCTTGCAGTCCAGCAACCAAACTGCTCACATGGAGCTAGAGGGCTCCTTGAGTGGAGCATTGCCCTTCCCACTTCCTCTGAGATTACATGCAGGTGCTGAAGTGCAATGAGGCATGGTGCCTAATGACCCTCTCTGCCCCTCTGCAGCTGGGGAGGACTTCTCCACTCAGCTGGGGCTGGTGGCAGAAGGAGTGGCAGCTCTGGCAGGGTAGACCTGTCATGTGGTTAGAGTCTAAGCCTTAACTAGGAGGAACCAGAGTGCATAAGAGTGTGTTCCTGGCAAGGAACTAAGGGTCTTAGAGCTCCTCTGCTGCAGTGTCTAAATAAGCCGTGGTGAAGGTAACCATGTTTTGTTTTAATTGTCTGAGTTAATGTTTCCTCCTTTCACCACAGACTAGGTCCTTCTGCCTCTTTCTGTTTCTTGTGGTTACATGTTCTCATTGAAGAGATTCCACTAAGTTGCTAGAAGTAATTTACCTAAATCATAGATCCAAGCGCTGAATGCATAGTTCAGGTTGGGTTTTTTTCCTCTGTTTCCATCAGAATTGTAGACATCCCAAAGTCTGGTAACAGTGTTTGATTTACATTTCTCCGTAGTCATCCTGGCAGTGTTGCAGGGCACCTGACACTGTGATGAGGGAGCAAGACTAGAAATTAGAAATAACTTTTTCCAGGAAAATTTTAAAAGGCAGAATATGCAAATAGGGCAGCACACAGACATCAGACATGGACATTGTGTTGTATTTGCATAAAATCTAAGGCTTTCTGGACCTTCAGGCTTAAGATAAATTGTTACAGAGGAACAAGGCGGGGGGGCGTAGGGGGGTGGGCTGTATTTTCTGTTGTGGAGGAAACCAGATCTAGAGATGGGATGGGAAGGAGGTACAGGAGCATATCTGAAGTAAGTGAGCAGAAACGCCTTTTAATAGATGTCAGGAAAGGAGTGAAAGTGCTTTAAATCAGTGAAAGGATAAACAGGGAGAAGGACTGCCTGAAGGTGAAAAGGGAAAAGGACATGCTAATAATTTTTAGAGACACCCATACGGCCAGAAGATGGTAGGACAAGAAAGGTAATGACAAACAGCTAGTTTTGCATGTAGTGGAGAGTCTCAGAGATGAGGTTCCAGTAGTCAGGGATGGACATAGAGAGTGGCTGGGTAGGAAATTTAGCTGTGTAGACAAAGAGGGAAAACGGGAAGTCAATCTTCAATTGCTAGGGAAGGGAGAGATGCAGAATGTTTCCTAGGCTTTGTTAGGGAGCTAGCCATTCAGATCAGATTTACTTGGAGCAGTGTCTAGATGGTACAGATGGAAGTGCTTTAGAAGAGCCTAAGGTGGTCCCCGGAGAATGGATGTGCATGAGAGAATTTATGAAATCTTCACATTTTTCTATCAATGCTTTATTAAAATCTCAATTCTGAAAAATGTTGATTGGTACTAACAGCTTGATGGAAGCAGTGAGGTTTGCATATGGGCAGAATATGGCAGAAATTATTGCAGAGGTCAGGCACCATCTGGCCGTGATGGGAGAAAGCTGTGAAAGCTTAGATCATTTCTGTCTGCAATTTAACTGCTTGGAGCCAGATTTCCAAATGGTTCATGAATGTGCCCAGTTGCTGTATATGTACGTCTCGGGTGCTGTCTGCAAGCCAGGTCTTTTTCAGGCCTATTTGCATGTGTAATAATGATGTGATTTCTGCTTGGGGATGAGTTTTTCTGGTTGGAGTGTCCCTCTGGGGAGGAGGCTGAAGGTGCAATTAGAAGAAGGCCTAAAACACAGAGGCAGAGAAAAACAGCCAGAGTGCAAAGGGGGCAGAGGGAGGAAGTTGAGGTTGTAGGAGCCCCTCCCTAAGAGTGAGACCAGATAGCCCAAAAGGCTTTTGGGTGCCCAAGATCCCCTTTCACAGCAGCGATTTAACAGAGCTCCAGGGATGCATAAGGGGAGAGTAAGGAATAAGCAGCGTGGGGCGTTTCACTGACGTGCTGTGGAGGAAGTTACCATATGAATGGCATTAATTGCCCATGTGTGTCAGTCCGACACTGCTGCTCCAGCTGCTCTATTGTATTTGGACCAGTCTCTTTCCTATCCGTATCATTCCAGTGAATTTAATATTTGAAAAAGAAAGGGAGGGGCTGCACAGAGGCAGACAAAGCGTGGTGAAAGGCTGAATGTGACTCCCCTCCTCAAAATATATCTTGCTCTTAATCTTGGTTTCCCATTGCTATTCTTTACCAGAGCATCCCAAATAGCTCTGATGATGTTGACTCTGATTCCTAAACTTAACGGGTCCTGTAAAGTTTTTGGTTGCTCCTCGCTCTTAAACTTCCAGTTGTATTACTGCTGCTGTGGTGGATCAACCTTCTGCTGCAGCTCTAGGCTGCAGGAATTGAGAGTCAAGAACAACTGTGCATTTTCTCTGTGCATCTGCAGAGAAGTTAGCACAAGGCCTTCATCACATTTTGAGGCACCATTCCTGGAGGTGTTCAAAAGACGGGTTGATGTAGTGCCGGGAGATACAGTTTAGTGAT